TTGTCCTTTTGGGAAAATCCGTGTTGTCTTTGAGGAATAAATTATCACCCAAAATAGGAGAGAGAAAAATAAATTACTTTCCAAAAAAAATAATAAGTCGCATGTGTGAGTGTGGCCCAAGAAAAATAAGAAAAGATTGAACGCGATGTGGATACTTTATCACCAATGTCATGTAATATCATCTTCAAATAAAAAATTTATACTTAAATAAGTGAATTCTATTTATTTTTGGTTACTACTTAGTACAAGTAATAAAAGAGAATTCATGTGATCTATTTATAAATTTTGGAAAAAATTTAGTCACACCCTTTCTATTTTATTATATTTTAAAAGACATCTCTATTTTCTGAATTTTCACTAACACCCCTGTTAGATTAAATGTGTTAATTAGAATGTAATTTTACTAAATTACCCATGATATATTTTAGGAAAATTTTCATCCAAACCCCCTCTAGATAGACATATTTTCGAGTAATTAAAATTTATTTTTTATGTATTAAAATTTAAATCAATTAAAAATTATTTTTTTTTACGTATTTGAGCTGATTAAAATTCTATTCAAGGTTCAAATCAAATTTTAATCAACTAGCATTAAATTTTAATTGACCAAATTTTTGATACATAAAAAAATATAAATTTTAATTGACTCAAAAAGTAAATTTTAATCAACTTGAATCAAATTTTAATAAATAAAAGTATATAAATTTTAATCGACTAGAATAAAATTTAAATTGGGGTTAACAACTCAAGTAGAGCTGAAATTGGCTCAAATTTTAATATTTAAAAAAAGACTTTTAATAGACTCAAATGTTAATACGTAAAAAATAAAATTTAGTCAGATTAAATTAGCTCAAATTTTAATATGTAAAAAAATAAATTTTAATCAGCTTAAATTTTATGTAAAAAAATTATTTAGGGTTTATGTAGGAGAAATTTTGGTATTTAAGATAATTTATTTTTGTTAGAAATAGTGGTTTAATGGCAAAGGATTTCGGTGATCTTTAAATATAAACTAGAATGAGTGTTAGTGATGTTTTTAATAATAGAGGATGTGTTTTTAAGAATATGATAAACTAAAAGGCGTGTAACTGAAATTTTCTCATAAATTTTTATTGGGTAATAATAATACGCGGTAATACTAACATAACGTTACTGTTACACCGAATATTTATTTAAAGAACACCCGGGAAATTGCAATTGCGTTTTCCCACGCTTCCTGCGAGGAGCCTCTGCAGTCCAAAAAGAACCAGAAGCAAAGATTTCAAAATTGGCGAAGAGAGAGAGTATGGACGAGGTGACGACAGAAAATACAGTTGAAGCTCCCAAATCTCGAATCGCCATTCGTTGCGCCCAAGTCTCAATTCTACTCTCGCCACTGAAACTCCCCCGAAATCACCGCCTCAATTCAAAAAACGGCCAACAGGTATGTGTGTGTGTTGTGTTGTTTCTGAATCATACATGCATAAATTGAATTCGTATTTTGCGAACCTGTTGTTTCGTTGCAATGGATGCGGTGTTAGGAAAGGGAGTTGATGTTGAAGGCCGAGGTGGAAGATCTGAGGAGAGATTTGCTGAAGGAGAGAGTGAAGAATAAGAAGCTGAGGCTCTGTTCTTTGATGGAGTTTTCTGTTCAGATCATTCTTTTGCTGTCTTTGTGGACTCTCTGTTTGATGATCGCCTTCGAATTCCTCTGAATTTTCTCACTGCCCGTCCACTTTATCCATTCCATTTCATCATTTCTGCTTGAAAATCGCATTTTCTTCTATCATTCTGTTTCTGTTATCAAATTTTTTGTTTTTGCATTGGAGGAGTAAGTGCTGTAAAAATCGTTTTGATTTCGAATGCTGACTAGTATTTGAAACTTAACTCTGGTAGGTTGAAGAAATATAGAAATTTTAGTTTGGTCTTGGATCTGATTAGGCTCATCAGATAATAGCTTAAATTTCTCTATCGTCTGTACGGCGACTAGTATTTTTTTCAATGAAGTCATTCTTTTCTCTTCATTGAATCTTTATTCATGTGCAGACCTGATGCGATGGTAAAGATATTTCAGGTTAGAGGTTCGAATTATAGAAATAGTCTTTTTATTTGCAAAGATAGAACTCTATATATTTAACTTTCTTCAAATTTTACAATAAAGAGAGCTTAATGTACCGAGTAAATCATTTTAAAAATGGCTTGAAATATGGCGGCACAGGTTCCAAAAAGGATTTGTTATGAACCTTGGCTTGTGTTAATCTCCATCTAGAGATGCAGGCGTTCCTCATATTATGGCTCATGTTAGGTAGACAGAGCAAGTCAATAGGATATGTGTAGGTTGTACAACCTTTTTATCTAGGAATGCATAGCCAATAAAAAAATGAATTAGATCAAAGGAAAATAAAAAAAAAAAAAGGAAAAAAAGAACGCTGGGAACAAAATCCACAAATTTGGAATATGTTTTCACCTAATTTAGGTTGCTTTGGTCCTTGAATGACCTACTTGTTGAATGCGCATTCTTGTGTGTGTTCCATGAAATCCCTAATGCTCCGTTTCGTACGGTGAAAAAAATGAAAGGATAAAAAATTGAAAGGATGAAAAGTTAGCAGGATAAATAAAATATTATGTTTGGTAAAGAATGAAAGTAAAAATGATGAAAAAGTAGATGAATTAATTTTCCTTCCAACTCACCAAAATTCAATTCTTTTAAAATCGAAAAGAAAGTGGATGAAAAATTAATTAGTTGTGTTGAAGTGTATCTTATTTGTCTATATATATTATGCATACATTAATTTCATATAAAAATATAATAATTCATTTTAACTAAAGGTGAAAATTTTCAACTAAATATGATGACACGACTCAAACTTGACACAAATTTTATGACATTAACTTAATTATAATTCGATACGAACTTAAAAATGATCTAACACGCAAATAAGAAATATAAAAAACTCATAATTTTATGATTTAACACAAATCTGACACGACATAACTCAATTATCAACCTTAATTTTAGCCATCACAAAAAAAAAATTAAAAAAAATTAGTCATTTTTATTTTGTATCTATCCAACTAAACACAAAGTAAGGAAATTGTATTATTCCTACTTTCCATCCTTGAAGGATAGAAAATGTATTCTTCATACTTTCTATTATTTCTACTTTTCATCCATCATACCAAACGGAACATAAGACCGTAGTTCTAGAATTCTCACGTTAATCAAGAACAACGAAAAGAAATATTCAAATCACTGATTCAAATCTATTGTTGAATCCTACTGAAAGGAATATGGAGAATGAGTTAGATCTTATCTTTTAAAGAGAGTTTTGGTATACAGAAAATTCTGCTCTTTATTTTTAGGAAAAACCTTGGATGAATATGGCAGGAGCACTTTCTAGTGTAATGTAGTAGTCTGAAATGAAAGAAGGGAGAGTCCATGTGGTTCTACAGAACTCGGCACCAGCAATAATTTGTAAAAATGTTAATTCTTTTTGTTCCTACCTTGTTTGCCTGAACCCACCACCAATTCATTATGCTTAATGATACAGAGACGCACATGTTATTTACGTTGCTCTAATGAATTTGTTCGTAATGTTTGTTTTCTCAGGTCCCAAATACTTGCAATATTTCTCATTCGATTGTTTGAAAACTGTCAGTCTAATCATGCCTGACAAAAAGTGAGAAATCTGTATTCATCTGCTTCATTTGAAACTGATCTTTTTCGTAACAAAATGAGTAAATATTATAATTGGTCTTAAATTTTGCCTCCAGTTTTAATTTGGACCTCGAACTTTCAATTGTCCTAATTTGATCCATCAACTATCAATTTTATTTCAATTAAACCCTTCCATTTATTTCCACCGTTAGATTAACCGAAGACTATTCCAATTTGATCCATTTCAGTGTTGATGTGGAAATGGACGGAAGAATTTAATTGATAGTTAAGGACTAAATTAGGATTATTAAAAGTTTAATGACTAAATTAAAATCATAGACAAGTTCAAGACCAACTACAATATTTACCCTAATAAAAATTGGTGTTATGACTGCAACTCTACTACATCACTGCCATTCATCCAAAGCCCTACCCGGTGTCTAACTAGAGAACCTGAAGTGCAAGCATAAATCATGGAAGCAGACATTCAAAGTTTTAACTTGGTATGCAAGAAAAAAGAAAGCTGCCGGGATAATGCAAATCATCAATATATGGTCAGCCTACGCCTCACAAACAACGAAGTTTTTGAGAATCTTGTAATCCTTCGAGCTGTCTACTGCAGCAGCAGCAATCCCCAAGGGGGCAGTTAATGGTCGGGTTTGGTAACGCTAACAGCCTACTACTGCAAAATCCAATTTCATAATATTTCTACAAGCACCACCACAGCTTCTATGAAGTACTTTCTTACAACAGTCACAGTACCTATCCTATATTTTCAGAAATTACAGACATCAACTTGCAATGCTCAAACCCTTCACTATATATATATTTTGATACGAAGAGTGCTTCAAAAAACAATCATGTAGCATTGGAAGTGAAAAGGAAGTGTATACTCCAACGTGTTCTGTAGAATAGTTCATGTCGGACTGCTATGTGCAAATCAGTTCTTCATGAGCACAGAAAATTTTTCTCACCTGAACAGAACAAGGTAGAAGGATCTTATGCTGCATACCTACCTTTTGTTAGGACCATTAAAAGTTCTAGCACGGGATTAGAATCATCAAATTGAAGGCGTGTGGGGATGCGAATATGCTGCGGGTAACTACTATGTGAATAATGTCAATTCTTTATTTTGTTATTATAAATTTCGTTTCATTCATCTCTGTCCAGCGGTATGCAGTCTGAAAACCCGATTGTTAAATGCAGAAAATAGAATTCAGTATCTGGGAGACTATAATGATATGTGTAAAAATCAAATGTGGAGCAAGCAAAATTTGTCGGAAAGGTGATTGGCTCAGCATCGGGGGAAAATAGCATCGAACTAATATTCAAAATGTTTTGGGGAATGAAAATAGGAATACCTCTAATCAAATGCATAGGGATCATCTGCATATGGATTCAGAGATCCTTCTGAGAATAAATCACCTATGTTCGAAGGGTTTGGATGACGCCCTCCTTTAATTCCCTGCACAATATTTGAAAAAAACGCTCAAAACAAGCTAAAGGAAATGCTGTGGCATTGCACCGGAAACACTATTAAAACAAAAACCAGAAGGGTCTCCATTATCAGTCATATAGATAGAGAAGTTCAAGCGTCTCATGATTCTAGTTTACTTTACTTATGGTAATCAATTGGGAAGCTTCTTTTTTGAATTATTTCTAGACAGATTGGGATATTTCATTATAATCAAAATATTCCAAATGCAGATTCATAACAGCTTTAACGGCATGTGAGGACAGTAGAATTTCCCAAGCATATTGATTCTTCTAGTACCAGTTACCTGCACTGCCCACTTAACCTGGCAGAAGTTCTTTTCCTAGAACTAGCCATTAGAGAATGTAGGAACTCGGAGGGAAACCAAAAATGACCAATTTAACCAAATAGCAAGCCTAGAAATGACTTCTTCAGCTTTTAGTTACCTTGATATCATTTCTGGGGGTCTTGGCTTTTGGCGTTTCCCCCTTTTTATGCTTTCTTGGATCCTAGTGTAACACCAACAATATTGTAAATCATTAGATATATAGACAAAAATCCTGCCAAGTAACTAGCCAACCTCCTTATATGAAGCGCACAAGGATACATGCAACTGGTTGATTTCTTTCAAAGGGCAAAGTACATACCCCAAACATGACCGTACTTTTTGTTTTTCTTCGTTTTGTAATTGTTCTACCATTTGCAGTTTCAACCTCATATTCATGGCGAGTCACCTGCCATGCCACGAAGAAAATTGAGAAAGGCAAGTGGGATAAAGGCATCGGTCCACTCTGAACATATGATAAGCTTGAGATGAAAGAACCGGACTCCTCAATAAAAATCACATAGAAAGTAAGATACTAAGAGAAATAATCAATTACTCACTTTTCCTCCCAATAAATTTCTCCCTTTTTTTCCCAGGTTTAGGAGTTCAATAATACAATCCCTGTCCCTATAAGCTTAATAGCTCTGGAGCTAAGGGTTATTGTTTCTCAAACCAACTCAAAACACATCAAATTATATAAGAAGACATGCATTTCGCACCAGTTTTGCATACACACACATAGGAGTGAAAGTAAGGAAGTATCTCACCTTCCTACTGTGCTTAGGAATAGTCATTACACTTCCTGAGTTCACCTTCTCCACTTTCTTCAATAAGTTTGACACTGGCGTTTGTGTTGCTCTCAGGAAAGGCGACTCCTACAAAAAACACAGAGATATAGACTAATACTGCAACATTTGCAAACTGTGACAAAGGGAAAATAATTTGTCATTTTGCTATCACCTTCTCTTCATCTTCAGCTCTGACCAGAGCATGCTGACCTCTTTTGCCCCCATCAGAACTTCTCATCTTGGTCGACGAGATGGAGTAATTCTGAGAAATCATAAAATTTTTGAAGTGACCAAAATTGCTTATTATTAGCAATTCGTCATGCTGATACCATCCATTGAATTTTAACACTCACAATTTTTTATGTGCAGTTACTTCTGCCATCACTTTTAATCCATTATTTGTTTTTATGCAAGTGAGGACATCCAATGATAGCAAAGCCACATATATGTATACACAAACATATATATCATCCCCAGAACTATACATAAATACGGTGAGATCATAAATACAAAGCTTTTTTTTTTTTTTTTGGACATCATAAATACAAAGCTAAAAAACTGCAGAAAATGCAGCATTCCATACAGCAAATCAGAAGACCCTTGAAACAAGAAGGATTGTGTCAGTAGCAATTATAAAGATCAGCAGTACAAAAAGCTATAGTAAGGAATCTATCTTGATTTCAAACACTACAACTACAAGCTGACCGAACGTGAATGGAGCATGTTAGATTCCAATCTTTTGAGGGCCTCAATAACCTTGCATAAGTTTCACACTCACACCCATGGGTATTGCTAAGGTGATCATAAGATACACCAATTAGGATGGTATCTCAACCATGTATAAACTACATGTGGCTCACGCCATAGGTTGGCTCTCATGATCGTCATATTAGCTAAGCTGGGCTAAAAGAGAAAAGAAACTCTATTATACACAACACAATGTTGCAATTCAATTACAATAGCACACTGTAACAGAGTGTAGGTATTAAAATTTGTATTGATTTATGGTGGCCACTGACCAGTTTTTGATACTCATTAATTTGAAAGACTAAAAATTTATCTTTGAAACAAACGGAGAACTTCAACGTAAAGTTGATCAAACCTTCTGATAACTCGCGTCCATCCATGATAGACAACATTAAAATATATCCTTCAAGACATCTCATTATGACACATAACAAGGATGGGAATATTCACACATCTGTATCATAGTGAGCACGCACACATGGAGGTATACTGGAAAGGGGACATTTTTTAATTCTATATTGCAAATAAAGTCAGACCTTTTTGGAATTCACTTCCTGGTCCTCTTGTGCGTTGTCACTCATTACTTTCCACTGCAATTGCAATAAAGCCCTCTGTCTGTCTTCCTGTAATATAGAATGATCACTTTCAGAAAGCTGCAGGAAATATATACTTAAAGCAGTTTCAAGAATGACATACTCTGGACTTCTGAATATTCAATTCCTCCTGAAGTTTCCTACATTCATCTTCATGCTGACACTTCAAAGCTCTTAACTGAACGTCATGTTCATTCCTGAGTGTCGCTGTTTTCTGTAAATCATTGACACTCACCAATTTGATCAATGTGTAACATCAAAACTGATGATTCAGTCATAAATTCAGAGAGACATGCACCTCTCTCAATTCATTTTCAGCTTGAAGTTGGACACGCTTTAGCTCTTCACTGTGGTCAAATATAAGAATGGATTCCTTCTTATCATTCTCCTGCTGAAGACAACTAAGCTACAAAAATGGATAG